GATCTTGCAAGAATTGCAAGTATACCTATACCCCCCCCCCCCCCCAAAAAAAAACCTACTATCCTTGTATAATTTAAGATAGTTATCATTCATACAAGTTATATTTAAACATTTATATCCATTAGGCGCCCGATGTTTTCTACAAATCTTATTGCCTTCTTTTCCACAAAAAATATTTCAAAATTTTCTTCATAAAATGTCGACATGCACTTCCCAAAAATTAATTATATAGAATCAATTTTTAGGAGGGGCATGTTAATATTTTATGAATATGCAAAAAAATCGTAAACATTTACAAAAAAAATTGTATATTTTTACGTTAAAATTTAATACTCTCAAGTTCTCTTCTTTATTTCGGTGCTTTCCTTAATAAAACTCCATTTAATTTTTTGTTATGTATTTTTTCCTTTATTTAGTAGTAATGAGGGTTTATTAAAAAGACCCCCGATTATGATACCCCGGGGTTCATTATGCGGAAGATTTATTGGATCATGTAAACTTAATCCTCTCTTATTGAAATATATATATATAATAATAATCTATTTGTTTATTGATTCTTATTGAAAGAGCTTCAATTCATCGGATTTATTTAAGCACCCACAAATTTTTTAGATTGATTATACATCATAGTCTTTAATTGTTAAATTATCGGCTAATCTTTTGTACCTTTTTGCTATATGGCGTGCTGCAAAGGAATGTGACTAGGTTTGAATAATACTCTAATGAGCTTAAGACTTTATCTTTGCCGTCTGTTCCTGGAAAGCTTTTAAAATAACTCTTATTCTCACTTAATATTTTATTAGATTTTTTATTCATAAAAGGCATGGGTAAAAATTTAAGATTATTTTTATAGTAAACTTTTTAAATAAAACTAACATGAGGTCGTAATACCACACTATATTTTTTTTCTATGCTTAATCTTTTTCATAGAAAACTCCCCCGTCCTCAGTCTCAACACAGCGCAGTAATCGACGCCAGCAAACCACGAAGGCCTCACTTACTGGGAAGATGTATTTAATCACCGCAGGGGGGCCTTACAGCCTTACTGGGAAGCCGACAACTGGCAATACACTACCAGGCCGGGGGTTCACTGGATCTTGTGGTCGGACAAGGCGGTATGGTATGGGTCTAATGGCATGATGGACTTTCACCTTTACACGCATAATGCCAGAGCTTCAGTGGCTTGCTGTGCCCTCCCCCCAGGCGGGTTTTCTTCAGACGTAACTTCTTACTAAAGGTCTCCGAATACGACCTGCAGCAAATGCGCTTCCACAGCCACGGCAATTGTCGTGCCGACCCAAAGATGTTATGCCTCCTCTATATCTTAAGGACATTTACAACCTTTAGTCGACGCCTACAGAGAACCCCACGATACGACTTTACCCACAAATATTTTGTGACAATTATTGTGTCAACACTAGATTATTACTTAGCAAATTCAAATTGTTGGGATTCGAACCCATACCCCTCGAGCATCGAGACGAGACATAACCACTGCACCAACAATGCTTACTAAAATATATATAATTTTTTTGCAGAGCTTAAAAATCATAAAAAATTATTAAATATATTTTTTATTCAAATTTTAACACCTCAATAATCTTATCAAATAAATTTTCTTTAAAATGATCAATAAACATAAATGTCACCGGTGACAGAGAATTACCCAATAATTAGGTTTAACTCAAACAATCGAATATAAAACAGAACTCTGTCATAAAAATTTTAGAGTGAGAATAAATGTATTTAAGCAAGTTAGAAAAAATAGATAATGCTGAATAAGAAATTTAAGTCTTCTGTAACCCAACCATTATCTTTGGGGAATGTGGGTAGTAACATCAGCGACAAAAAGTCGAACTAAATAACCTTTCAAGGGTTTTAAAAGGTCTGGAAATGAAGACGAGAGGAATTACATATTTTTATGGCAAAAAATTTGGATCCGGAGGAATGGTCAGATCAACTCGCCTACCTTGAAAGCGATTGGAAGGATCTGAAGCTGCTCAAATTTATAAAGACCTACTTAAGGGGGTTACCATTGAGATGGTATGAAGCTATTATTGAGAGCGAAACTTCGTAGATCTGTATTTTCAAGGATGTGTTTTTAAATAAATTTAAAGGAAAATATCAGGAAGAGGATAACGATAAAGTAAGATGTCTTTATAAAAGGCCATTTGAAGGGTCTATTAACGAACCCATAAAGAATGTTTATATACCCCAATGAGGATCAATAAAAAGCAAAAGTAGTATTTACAAACTTATTGAATGATATTTCGGAGGTGTTTTTAAATTCGTTAAAAGAAAGAGTTAGAAACGGTGAGTCGTGGGACGATTTGCTGGGCATAATGGAAAACAACAATAGCTACATTGAAAAATCTAGAAGGAAAGATAAACTCAGCAGTGAAAATAATTAATCGTATTGTCAGAAAAAGAAAGATAATGGCAAGAAGCCGAAAGAGATAAGGTGTCTTGAATGTGGAGGGGTGCATTACAGAAACAAATGCCCCTGGGCTTTAGTCAAAATTCTTAACAGGCAGTAAAAGGAAAGCATGAAATACACGAACAAAAAATGTACGATATCGCCGACCAACAACGTCACAGTATTTAAGATAAAGGGTACCCCGGAAAGTGAAAAGGTTTTTCGTTCTGATTGATGCAGGGCAACACTGTCGTTTGTGAACGGAAGATTAGTGAATAGCATTAAAAAGGAAAAGATTAACCTTTTAAAAGTATTTACAGCAATAGGAGAAATGTTGTCAATAAGAAGTGCAATATAAAACCGATCACGGGTAAAGAAGTATTTGCAACAGAAGTGCACATGGTGGAAAGCCTAAGTAAGGATATCACCTTTGTTGAGATTTTTTGAATAAAGTCAATGAAAAGATTTATTATAAGGATAAAACTTTGACATTAAACAATAAAATCATTCCAATTTATAGTAAAAATGGATCATAGGCACTTGACTGGCACATAATAACAGAAAAATGAAATGTTTATTTAACTCGAAGTAATTTCAATAGTGTTAAAAACGCCACATCTTTAAAGGGTCACAAAACATAAAAAAGTTAAGAAACGTTTGTCGGTGAGTTCTTTGTACGCCCCTTTGAGCTTTAATTTATAGTTTAATCTTATTGTTAAGACTTTAAATGTGTTTTGTGTGTACAGTTGCGGAAGAATCCACGAAGTAATGTTTATGTGCTACAATACCGTGTGAGTAATTATTTTTATGAAAGAGTCCTATGTAAGCTTCTCATTCATCGGAATGGATAATTCTATTTGGACGCACAACATTTCCTATTATCGGAAGCACGATTCGCGCTTCTGGAAGATACCATTGAAGCAAAGGCTTTTGCTGGTTTAGTACTTGTGTCTTCCATGGTTAACGCCGAATCTGGACATTCAATTTTTCCCCCCTTATGATTTTTCGTGTTAAAATTTAGCTTGGTCTTGTCGACTTAAAGAATAACGTTCGTGCCTCCTAACCTTATCAGATGGTTATCAAAATACAAATTTATTTTTTCATCGCATTTCTTTTTAATGCTGCGTATTATTTAAATACTCAAACCACTTACAAAACCCATTATATCAGGCTGCTTTAACTTTTTTACTAGGTAAAATATAAATTTTTATTGTTTCACGGGAGATACTTTTGAATTATAAAAAGAATAGGATAAAATTGAACGCACACACCTGTAAAATCCACACTTATTATTATAACTCCTCCAAACATATCCCAAGCTCCCTTCATTATTAGATTTTAAAAACTTTTCAGTGCTACAATGTAAGCAATATAGTTTATCATAAATAAGGTTGCTGTCCATTAAGTAAGTAAGTACCTCTTCCTGTGATTTTTGTCTAACGTTTTCAAATTATTCTGACAACTGTATTGGGGGTTCTAAAGCATTTTAAATTTATAAAATTTTTACTACATAGGCACTTAACGAACGCTGCGTTCATCAAATGCCTATTGTCCTATAAAACTCCAAAAACGAAGTATTTGCCTTATCTATTAACTTATACGGCTTTGAATTAAAACTTTTAGCAGTATTATTGGTTCTGCCACGAAGATTATTATAGTGTTACCATGTCTTTTGATCATGTAATGGTCTACTATTACATAACCGTCACTTTTTTACGTACTTTAATAATAATCGAACATCCGTATTAAAATACATAAACCGGGATTTTATTATATTCCAGGCAGCATCTATATCATACAAAGGAACCAGAGAAATTGTAGTAACCGTGTCAATTAACTCGACAAAACGGCAATTTTGATTGTATAAAGTCACAACGCCCAACTTTTGTACACGGATCCAAATGGCATGCCAAAAATGAAAAAAAGCAGCCAGTAATCTCGGAATAAGGAAAACACTATCTTATTATAGCGTTGATTGAATGCTACAACCTTAAAATCTATAAGAATTACAGCAAAAGAAAATTTACTGAATCTACTGGACAGGGTAAATTTAATAGCATCAAAACCCTAATAATGTTTCTTCTGTTTTATTAGATAAAAAACAATCTATAAGCGGAAAGCTTTAGCTTAAAAATTTAATGTGTATGATATACACCTAGTAAAAGATATTTGATAACGATTTAAAAGTCCCATATATGAAAATTTAAAATCTTTTAGCCCGTGTAAATCTTTGTAAATAGTTAATATCACAAGTTATAACTATTTTTTCAACTCCTAAATTCCTATATAAACTAAATTAATACTATTTGGTAAACTAAATTACTAATATCGAAACTGGCAAAATCTAAGATACCTGCAAATGGCATAAAAACGGCTTTACACCCATATATGGAAGCTTTTAGGCTATCGAAAGATATAAAATGAAAGGCCCGCATCATCTATATCATAATTATTTGAATGGTTCTAATGCCTCTGTTATAAAGTTCACTAGATGAAATAAATGGCAAATTTGCCAATATATTACATACAATAAACTTCATCTGCGACTTAAGAACAGCATTAAAGTCTGTACTATGCATACCACTCGTTTTAACTGATTCATTATTTGAAAAGGCAGCCTCTGCAGTACAACTTGTAGTGAGATATTTTCAATACGTTGTACCATCAGAGTTCCCTTAC